TCATCGGATGCTCTGCCACTTGACACAGGAAAATGTTGCCTCAGCTGACAACTTAGGATAAAACATCAGACTACTTACATTCCCTCGCGGAAAAACACAATCCTTCCGTCTTTGCGAGCATAAGCTGCGTCAATTGGCGTTTGAACTTCTCTCCATTTGTCAACAATTTTGAGAGGTCCCCTAATAACCCCGACCGTCAGGGGGTCCACAATGAAGTAATAGTCGCCGATGAAGGCGTAGGTCTTTTGTTCTGCATATGAATAGACCCACGCATCGAACTTCTTTGCTTCACATTCGTCGATAGCGGGTTTGTTTGGTCTTGTTCGACTGGTGAAGGGCTTGTCTGTTGGTTYTGTGCGTCTTTCTGGTGCCCCTGGTGAAGGAAGAAGGGGACACTTTTAGGCAATAATAAATCGAAAATAATGAYAGCAGCAGAGAAACTCCGAAAAAAATAGCTTAACGTAAGCGCAGTTTATTGTAAGAGCAGCAATGGCAACAACACCAGAACAGCAGCAGCAACGGTGAAAAACGACCAAAGCGGACTCCACAACTAATTTCATTTGTGGTTGTCATTCTCCTGGCCTTTGGTCCMCAAATATCCTTTTAAATCCAATTAGTTCTTCTTAGGGCCAACAACTTAACCTATAACTCGAACCTTTCGCTTCCAWCATTGAAGGTAAAGGACCGAACAATATGTTGGTCGAACCACAAGAGGTTTAACATACTTTGAATTAGCTGGGGAACGATGGCATGGAGCCGGACTGTCGCTCTTAGATTTTCCCGTGAGAATGAAAATCAAGGAGATTARCTTGTGCGCTTTTCCTGAACGAAATCCTGGAGTCACCGCTAGACTTGTAACGGGAAYTGATACACTTAACGTGGATATTCTCACTGCTGACCAGAGAGACCGCAGAACCACARCTGGAGACACTAGTCTATGCCAAGAGGATGCAGCACACACAAATACAAATAGAAAGKCAGACACTTTAACAGMCCAAATGGCAAAGTACTTTTAAGAACAGAGAKGGTAGATAGTTCTCACGGGAATTTYATTCACGCASTCGCACCGAGTCATCCAATGATTGAATTAATCACTCGACTTACTGACTATTGACTTCTTGCCTGACTCAATAGACTGACCTATTTGACTCACTAAAAACTGATTCAAGTTCTGACAAACCTTCATTGGCTTATTCAATAAAGGCAAAACAGACGGTCAGACATACTGGCTGAGTTATTAAAGCACGTSAAACTTGAGCCTCAAGATTTACCACCCATGTTGCTCAGACTACATCAACAACTAAATCCTTAATTATCTACACCATTAAACACCCTCTTACATGCCCCTAGGATAGTCTTGATGGAAGCGCAGTGAAAGACTCGACATTTGACGTGTTCTAACTATGACTAGACAAGAATATATCTCACCATACAGAGCTTGGATTCCCCKAATGTCATCATAAGTCAACTTGATCTTCTCCATGAAGCCCTTGTACCACGGATACATGACAGACTCACGGACYGTCGAGTGATCGAGACCCAAACTATGGCCAAACTCGTGCAAAGCCACCCAGTCAAGGTTCACGCCTTTGCGCTTTCCTGTGGTGAAGCTCTCGGCATCGTCAAAATGTGCATCTCCTGCAATGCCTGTTGGGATAGAAAAGGATGCAATGAGCCAACAAATGCCGACCTCTTACACGGAACGTGTGYCATGTTTGCTCACACTGATGAATACATTAATAAATATGTAAAGAGGAAACGGTTTTGTCTTCAGAAACTTCATCCAATGCAGCTTTTATTATTCTAATTCCTAAAAGATAGATTCTATTCCCCCCCCCCCCCAGATTTTTCGTTTTCTTTGTTCAGTCTTGTTTTGTTTTGTCTTTTGTTTTGATTTTTTTCGTTAATCTCCCTAAATTCTTGACTGCATAGATGGTCGAGTAATATAAACATTGACTTTATGATATCAATTAGCTATCAAAACAAGTAAAATGCTTTGACTATAGTGAGGAGCAACTCTATCGACTCCATGTGGGCATTCCTCAGGATATTGTGTAACATTCTATGGTACCAACCACCGTACCCTCTCTAACTGAGTCTTCTATTAGTATCCTCGAGCCCCCTCTCTCGTCACCCCCTCTGTAGGTTTACGTAAAGTTTTGAATCCATCCATGGTTTTGATCAGCTCAGAGTTTGTATCGAGTTTGATAAAATTTGAAGAATTTTGACAGTATTTTCCACTTACCACTGTTGTCGTGGGGGTAGAAAGCATGGGCCAAGGTACCTCCTTYACCGTCAAACGGATAGTAATCACCATGAGCTCCATAGACGAATTTAATCAAAATATCAACCTTATCATCTGATAGTGACGAAGGAGCTTCTGTGACGCTCATCTTACTTGATTTGGACCACAAGTCRAAGGCCCATTTGAAAATTCGTTTCTGATCCGCATTGCTTAAATCTTTTGTGAACGCTTTGATCCTGTATGTGAGTCTCTGGTGAAGGGACAAAAAACGGAGTCAGGCATTTGTTAGCCTGCGTACCGGCGCTCTAGGTAGTGTAGGCATTTGTTTAGCATTATTCWCCWTTTTCCATRCATCGGTTCACTGGTCAAACACAAAGCATTCRGTCGAGGTTGCAAGGTTCAAATTTGAATAATCCTTTGAAAGTWCCTTGGCGCCTCGCTTGRGCGCTTTGTGTTTGACCAGTGAACCGAYGTATGGAAAATGGTGAATTTTACTTTATTACTACTGAGTAATATCTTTATTTTGGGTCAACAAAGAAAAGGGGAGAGAAAGAATACCTTAGAGAATAGAAAGTTGATAACACGACACTTTTGTTACCCAAAATGGCATGCCACGACGAAACAGGAAAACTACACAAGTGACATTACATTACATTACATAAACTTCCTTACACATTTAATCATACCTTCTTTTTCCAAAATGTACCCTGTAAAACATATCTTCTTCGTCTCCTTGCTTTATCTGCTTCGCTGAGGTCGGGTACGCCGCATCTCGACTGCCCCATCAGCTTGATTGTCGCTGCGTCTAGTATTCCCGTCTCGTTCAAACCAGCAAACCTTTGCAGCCGCCGTAAACTCTGAGCAAGATCTTCCTGACTCATCAGTTTACCGGTGCCTGAACCTTTACTACTGAGGTAGCCATACTTAGTGAGGTATTCCTGGAAGAAAAAGACAGATAATAAAAGTTAACCAATTGAAACACAGCGAATTAGGATTGCGGTCTTAGTTTTAGTAACATGCGTGACTCAACGACATAGAATTTAGCAAAATTTCCCCTATACATTATCGTAGCTGCAACAGCTAAAAATATGAGGCAAACCAGCGCGCTTTTATCGGACCATCGCAACGAGAACGGAAACGCGGTCTTTAACATCAGATTTCCACATTTAGCGTGCTTAACCTCTTGAAAAATGGGTCATGCGGTGCTGAGAACCACATTAGCGTATCAACCTGTTCTCTCACAGTTACGCTGAACGATCGATTGTCTAGACTTGGTCAACTCTCTTCATCTCTCTTGAAGTACCCTCTACATGTTTCCGGCCTTTAATGATTACGAATTCATTATTTAGTCTTCAGTCGATGAAACTTTTTATTAAGTTTTGTGAATCTGATGTCGAAGAAATTCCGACGAGTCCTATCGCAAAAGTTTTGTAAAGGGCGGACCCAGGGGGGGTGCGAATGGGGTGACTTGTCACCCCCCCCCCCCCCCTAGAAATCGTTCTGGATCTGCCGCTTCGTCGTGATTCATTTTTGGCAAATTCTCTCAATATTTAATCACAAGATCAACTGTAGGCTTCATTTCCTTATTTCTTTTTGTTTTCCCGGACTTATCTGATTTGACCCCTGGTCTACTGTAGCTCCAAAAAAGGCATCACTCCAAGGCCATCTTGAACGGCCCTACTTTGCCAGCAGTCACGAGATAGTCAAGCTGTCACCCAGAAGAACCTCCAACTCACGCGCTTGACTGTTCATGTCCAAGCAAAATGAAGGACAGGACTTAGAAATAATCCCTTCAGACTAATATTATTACAGATGGGACTAAAACGATTATAGACTTGATCTACAGACTCGGCATAACTGTACGTTAATGGCCTGCTTGATATTAAAAGTTAGGCTTAAAGGCGGCTTGAAAAATATTCACAATATATGTAATTCATTCATTCCGGAACGTCGGTGTCTACACAAAATTGAGTTCATTGCATACTCTAGACTGAAATAAAATTCTTAATAAAATCTACCAATGAAAAAAAAAAAGATAACTTRTCTGAAATTTCGTGTGCTTTTCCCCGGCTATTAGATACAGAGTGAGTCGTGTTTTGTAGAAAAACAATTAATTGATTCGCGCCACACTGATTGCACACAGCCCGAAAAATTTGCTTCGCTAATGTGCTGTCTGTGAGCTTCAATAAAATTGCGGTTTTGTGGTGTTTGCTTCAGTTCTCTTAGTAATTATGATCGTGAATCGTKAGTTAATATCACAAACGTAGAGCAAAAACCCTAAGAATAAGAGGGATTTCTGACTCGTAAGYTTCACTTCGAAGACTCTCACTTCCCCAAATGAACTAATTCTGTACATTTCCTCTTTTTGGGAAAGCGAAAAAAATGGAATTATCTTCGGCGCAATTGAGTATGTTTATGCATGAAGTAATTTGTTTATTTTTCGAATTTTGCTTTGAAAGCACCAAGATAAAATCCGATCTCTCGTCACATCTCCTGTCTGATTAACCGGGTTTTTGTTTCGTTGCCAAAATGTCAGCTAAAATTGGTCACTAATGAATTGAAAACAGATCCACAGATCGACGAATGACGACACAACAACACTAAATGCATGATATATTAAAAAAACATCCATTAGGGAAATAAAATAAAATAAAATAAATTAAAACACGAAACAACAAGGGAAGTAGTTTTTAATGAAACYAAAAGATCTTAAGGATATTGACTCTGAGGTGAAATGGAATTTTGTTACTGAATTGGATTAAATGCACTCGGCTGTYTCAAGCTTTAATGTTAAAATATGCGTATCCTGTCAAATACACCCATACATACTGTCCATCAAACCGGCCAGAATAAAACGATTATTTTCCCTTTTCATATGTCATTTAGCAGTAAATGCAGAAAGAGAAAACGTTTATCACTAGAGGTATACGGTTACGTTGTTGTGGTTGTACGCTTAAACATTTTGAAATGTTATAAAAATTTATGATGGTCTTGCCAGCGAAGGAATCGAACCTCTTTGAATTAATCGATTTGGAAAAATCATTACTTCAGTGATTCGATAAATGAAAGCCAAACCATACGAAAATCTATTCCGGTATTTCTTTTTGTATCTTTTTCTTTTTTCCTCTCTTTTTCTCTCTATATAAATACTTAATGTCAGCCTTGCAATTTGATAAATACGCTGTTCTTTCTCGGGTCACAGCAGGGAGAAATTGAACAAAATACAGTACAACAGCACAAATACTCACTATTTCGGTGTTAGTTTTCTTGACGGCTGTGGTCGGAGCACATTCTACTGAATTTCGAGAGCATCCAAGCAAATAAAGCAAGGAAAAAACAGTTAAATAAATCCTAACCACAGTCGAAAGGTCTTCCATGACGAGATGGAGAGGTTTAAGGATGGGTCTGTGCAAGATAGGATCTCARTGTGTAGGAGGCTATACTTGGCTGGCTTTTATATATACCGGTATAGTCGGCTCACTTGAATGGGTCGAGTTCTTGGTTGAATATGATTAACCAGACACGGCACAGGGTTTAATGACTACTTCTCACGGCCCGTGCGATTTGGATGTCAACTATTGTATCTTCGTATTGCTGTCAAGCACACAATGAATCAACCGGAAGATTGGTTTGTGCTGTAGGTCAGTTGCTCCAAATCTTTCGACCTTTTGCAATCAGATACTAGGCTTCCGCTTCAAGCAATGATGATTGACAATTACCGTCTCAGCAAAATGATATCAGTCCAAATATGGTGCGCTGGGCGAGTGCCTTATGGGATGTAACGCAAGTATCACTGCGTCACGTGAGGGCGCTCGGTAAATCCCCAGTCGGGTGTTTCCAGTTAGTAGGGGTTTTCTAGCGTTCCTTAACGTAATATCTTACCGACCTTACTCCTAGATTTCTCTGCTTAATGTTTTTCACACAAGTATCTAATTAAATTTTTGCGGTGTACTTTATTCGTTCGATAAAATAACGATAATAAATTCCGAAATAATTACTTTCTTTATATTCTTATCATTATTATTATTTCCAATGCTAATCCTGCTTTTGTATCTATTTTCTTTGCAATTTATCGCTTCCGTTATTGAAATAAATAAACTTGATGGCAATTTTTAGTTGCTCACATCAAAGACGGGAACAAAAACYGCATTCAATTTGAAAGATGACACAAAGTCGCGGTTTTTCACGAGTTTACTTTTCCTCGTGCCGATCTTGAATYTTTTCCAACGTTTCAACCTTAAATTAAACAAATTACAACGGAGTTTCTTCGTGACATCCACGAGTTTAGTAYTCTTTCGCTTTTTCTCTTTTATTACTTGCAGTTCTTTCTGTTTCACTTTTAAGCTTCCTCTCACTAGTCTSAAAGCAATTTCCCGAATCCCACAACCTCGTTCCCGCCCAAAGCGGAATATAAATTTATCTCAACTGAAGTCAATAATAAGTTATCCCATACTCGAGTTAAGCAAGCTTAAGTTAATGCTGGTATTTTATCATGAGMTCTCAATTCTGATTAGATTTCTACTGAGTTTATCAATAGTTATTCAGATAAGATTATTTGAAATAGTTTTTTGAAGTCGTAAGTCACGAAAAGTTGCTCAACTTTCATACGAAAAGAAGCTACCGTGTCGCGAATTTAGATTAATCGGTCGGAACTGCGTATAAATGCGACGATTTGTTTCAACATGACGATAATCATAACTACGACCCTAAAGTTATTCTTCGTTGTTTTTATGCTTCCGCTTTCTATGAYACGGGAAGAGCTATGTTTATATTTATCTAAGGTTTTACGCACATTCATCAAGTACCTTGTTTTTAAAATTTTCAAATTTTTCAATCGTTCAGAAAATGTTCCRCCTTCTAGAAGAACTTTTACGTGTTGTTGTTCAGCTTTTAGCGAAACTTGAACTACTAATTCTCCGCATTGTTTTGTAAAGGAAAATCAACATTTCGAAATTGATCGTACGTGACATCGTCATCGTGGAAGACGCGTGAAGGCTGGTGTCGTAATCAGCAGATATTAATCAAGTATCTTAGGACGCCCCGTTGTTACTAAGGAACTTTCCCACCATGGAAAGAAGCCTCTATTTTCAAGTATATACATCAAAATATACCTTATTTCGATAGCCGTCATTTTGAATGTGCTAAAAAGAAAGAAAATRTAATTTCATTGAATTATTTTCTGTTAAATAAAAACGAAATGGAGGCGTCGTTATTAAAAAAATCTGCAAAGCTATCTTTATATTTAATAAGTTTAATAAGCTTGAAGGCTCGAAAATAAATTAAAACTTGGAAAGTAAGTTGCTCTGCTTTTCCAAGAGTTAGTGTTTTTTTAAAACAAAGCTCTATTATAATAGACGAGCTTCACTGAACATCTAAACATCGTGAACCTCATATGACGAGGGATGGGCAAGTGGACTGGGCTTCAAGCCAAAACCGGGTCAAAATCTTTGCCATTTTGGGCCATTTCTTAGTACATTTATGAAAAGTAACAGTAACTGTACGGTTTCAGAGTGTTTTAGGGTCAGACGAAGGTGATTTATAATTGAGAATCTGTACTTCACTAAGTACTTGATCTATATGAAGTACATGATCCAAACGAGATTTAATTAACGGTGATTTCACTCAAGTGAAAAGAAAAGTTACGACCAACTGACTGACTTAATAAACTCTCTGTGTGTGGCTCGAGAAGAGGGATAAATGATAATCAACCACTTGTASGGAATATCTCCAGGATTGTCGATGATAGAGAAGTACAGCGCGAACTTTCGGTAAATGTTTAATACATTTAAACTGTTAACASGAGACTTTAATAACGACTGACCATCGTCCCAGTGAAGCCGGTATTTTGTTACTTTGTCAAAATGTTTTCAAACAACCAAATGTCCCTTATCAGGAATAGTAAACCATTGCTTGAAAAGTTTGCTTCATAGAAGTGGAATAGCGAAAGGATGTAAGGAAAAACTCAGATAAAAGTTCATAGTTTTGCATCCTATATTCGGCCTTTGTTATTTATTTTTAGAGTCAGTTTTGTACTGACACTGTGATCCTTTTTTAGCATCACAGTGTCGTTCAACAAAGGTATATAACAATTACAATGACATTACAAGAAATAAACGTTAAATTCGTGATATGATTTTTGACAATTTTGTCCATAATATTTGCAGGGCTTTCTCGTTAGCATTTCATTCACGGACTTCACGCTCTTCATCAAAGATTTCGTCAATCAGTGAGCTGGTTACTGTTTATAAAACCGACAAAGAAAGCCGAGAGAATGAAAGAGTGGCACTTATCTCTCTTGGTGTTTGGTACAGGTCTACTTCAAAGTACTTGAGCATACCTGGCCTAATAATTAACTGCCTTTTGAAAACTGTTGAACCTACGTGTGGAGTTGTTCAAACTTTTTTACATGATGAAAGACAGTCAAAATAAATATGCTTTCTTCGCCTCCTGAGTGGAAAGCGACTGGAATCATGAGCACTGATATAAAGACATTATAAGTTTACGATAATAAAGCAGATACTGATAAATCAAGCATCAATACCATCAGCTATTATGATATTTAATCTCAGTCATGATTTAAGATTATCTCAAAATAAACTTTCTATATCGATTATTTTTGCCTGGAGGGCGCGTACTGCAGTGCACGAACAGCACGCGCCAACATATTCTTTCCCCCACCTTTGACCTAAATTTCACCGACTAAAATAACAATAAATTTCACTTGGGCAAGTTTTTTTTACATTTCTGACCATGCATCATTTTCTAGAGAATATAATTTTTTTGTTTATTTCCCGAGGTACAAGATTGCGTACGCAATTGCTACGTTGTTATAAGTCAATTTTGTAAACACACAAAGTAAATAAAAATTCCAAAACAAGAAAAAAAAAAAGATATTTGAGTCCAGTGTAAACCATCTCTGACGTCAATGGCCGATTTTCATACTTTCCAGCCAACAATCGTTGCGCTTTGAATTACACTTTACCCAAAAATTGTGCTTGTAAAAATAATTATTTCATTCAAAAGGTATTGGTAAACTATTTTATTAGAGACGAAGAACAGGTAAACAATAAATAGTTTTTATATTACTAAGTTATTGTATGCACAACAAGCAGTCCAGGGTTGGGCTGTCATGGATGAGGTCATGGAACGCAATTTACCGGTTTGTGTGTGAGTCAATAAAACACAAGCCGATATCATTACTGCTATATACGTCAGAAATCCTTTGTGTTTTAGCACATACCATGACGAAAGCATTCATGTCCAATTCCTCGCGGATTTGTGCTAGAATGTCAATAAAACTTCTAAGCTAAAGTTTATTTGTACCGCAATTTCAGCATTGGCTTGGAGCAAGAAAAAATCCCGCCATAATTGTTTTCTAGATTTTATAGATAATCCGGAGTTCTGTGGATTAAAATAAACTTTATGCAACCTCAGAAACCAGAACTTTCACGGTTTACACATGTTTTACGCTAACAGGAACACATTGGTGGTGGTTGAGTGRCTACATGTCTCGGAAGGACGTAATAAATCTACGATTTTTTACAGGTCAACATCTATGGCGAAAATTAGGTCACATCACAGTTTGAGATGATTGCGTAAAAACTAAAATGTATCACCTTCACGCCACCACAACTCCTTCCTAAATAAATTATTTTATTCAAAATATGTCAATATTTGTATTGTTGAACATGAACTATTCAGAAAATCACATATTACAAAACTGCTGACCAGCCGGAATTGCGTCTATTATATTTATTATTCTTCCAATGAATAATCTAGCTAAACAATTTAGAATTCTATATATGGTTTGGCTAAGACCTAACGGCCGCCTCCAGGGACCCATGTGACGCGGAAGGGTTAGCTCTGCGGCTTCTATCTTTGAGTTCGTTCATGAAAAGGGACTTCCGAACTAAACGGCCTCGCCTTTATCACCGACGTCAGCATTGCAAGCGAAGCGGGGATATAAGAAGGCTCGCTGTGAAGGTCAACTCAAAACTTTCTGAAACCTCTACGAGCTAACTCAAGAAGGGAAACGAGAAGCCATATTTATTATTGCCCTTTGGCTGTTATTTTCTGGAAATAACCGATATACTTTTGGTCGTGAAGATGGGAGGAATTGTTCAACTGTCGTTGTTGATTTTGGGCTGTGCTACTATTGCCCAAGTGTCTGGAAAACCTACCCCAATTGATGTAGTTGTAAGTCTTGTTTCTTTCATTGATTATTATTACTATTATTATTTAACGTTGGTATTAATTTGTCTTATATCACTGGGCGAAATTTTATTAATATTGACAGAAATGTTTTTACCTTGTCAGAATTATCTCGCTTCGTATGGATACCTTAAACCCCTCGACCCCACGAGTGGGCGATTACGAAGCAACTACGAACTCCATCAAGCTGTTAAGATGTTGCAACGCATGGGGAACCTTCCTGAGAATGGAAAGCTAGACGATCCTGCTTTGCTGAAGCTGATAGGTACTGATCGATGCGGGGTGCCTGATGTCGGGCCCGCAGACAAGGCCAAGAGAAGGAAAAGACGCTACGTACTTCATGGATCAAAATGGGAAAAAAAGGTAACCAATGAAATTCGAAACCAAACCAAGTCAATTAAAGGGATATTATCTCGGAACAGTCAGCCTGGAAAGTAACTTGCACTTTACTTAACTGAAATGAAATACAACAAAGATATTCTAGGGGATTTCCGGTGCTAGATCGAGACAAAAACGGTCTCGTAACTCAGTGAGAAACACGTACCATGTTATGATGAGCTTAGAAAGTGAAATCGCTGAAGCCAAGAGAATTAAATACACAAGCAAAAATTGTGCAATTTTTATATCCAAATTTACTAACGATTATAACTAGAGTAGGTAGGTAGCATGGGGTGGCACGTGCCCCCCCTTCTCCCCAAAGAAAATTTGCTTTCAACAAAATTTGATTAATCCCTGCGGGACTCCTGTGGATTTGGCTGGAAAATGGTACATTGCGTCTCCTRTAATCGAAACCTCGCTAAACCCCTGCTAAAGATTTCCTTTTTTTTAGGATTTGACCTACAAAATTCTGAACTACAGTCCAGACTTGTCGAGGAAAGAAATAGATGATACCATCCGCGATGCATTTAACGTTTGGGCAGCGGTGACGCCTCTAACCTTCAAGAAGGTGAACAGTGGTAAAGCTGACATTGATATCAAGTTTGCGACATACGAACACGGTGATGGTTATCCATTTGATGGTCGTGGTCAGACACTGGCTCACGCTTTTTATCCACAAGACAACTCTGAAGGTAATGGCAATTGTCTGTCTGTCTATCTGTCTGTTTGTTCGGAAAATGTTAACAGGGAAGGACGGGTGGCGTAGCGGTGAGAGCGCTCGCCTCTCACCAATGCAACCCGGGTTCGAGTCCCCCTGAGCTCGGTGTCGTATGTGAGTAGAGTTGTTTGTTGGTTCTCTCTTGTGCTTCGAGGGTTTTCCGAGTTCTCCAGCTTTCTTCCCTCCGCAAAAATCAACTCCTAAATTCCAATTGGAATTACAGGGGATGAATAGCTACTCTGTAGAAATGCCACTGTTAAATTCCATTTATTTATTTAACAGTAAACGATTCCAATTTACAGATATTTATGGTGACGCCCATTTTGACGATGACGAACCCTTCACACTCAAAGGCAAACGTGGGATCGACCTGTTCTGGGTAGCAGTGCACGAGTTTGGGCACAGTTTGGGGCTTGACCACTCAAACCACCTCGATGCCATTATGTATCCATTCTACGGAGGCTATAAAGCAGACTTCAAGCTACACAGCGATGACGTCAACGGAATTCAAGCTATATATGGTAATGTCACTTCCTGTTTGTTTTTTATCACTGCGCATGTCCATAGAAAGACCGCTTTGTTATGGCGGCGTTCTAGTTTTCATATTAGCACTTACACGAGCGCTAGTTACAAATACTTTTTATTCATCCACTTTTCGTTCATCGTTCTCTTCCCAATTCTTCATATGCTTTCACATACTCATGAATATTCTCCCGTTCTTTTTCCTAGGCAAGCCAACATCGCCCTCTCAATCTACTCTGGCTCCCACTCCAACAGGYCGTGTCACGCCAACGCCTCACACTCGTACCGATGCTCCTGGTGTGCCCGACAAGTGCTCAAGCCCTGTGGACGCTTTCGTCACAACTGAAGCCGGTCTAACCTATGCATTCAAGGGTGAATACTTCTGGCCCATTGCTGAGAGCGGATCCTGGACGTCAGCACTGAAGATCGCTGATTTCTGGCCTCTTGTGGAAGATAACGTCGATGCTGCCTTCTTGCGCCGATCAGACAAAGTTAACTTCATCTTCAAGGGCGACAAGTAAGTTATCCGTCCCTACCACCACCCCTCCCCCCTCCCCATCCGTCCTAGCTGTCCTCCTCCCCCCCTTTTTTCTCAAGATGCAGTCACACATAGCGATAGCAAAGGACGGTGACAGAGGGCATGGTACAAGTACAGTATGACATCTTGTCACCGTAACAAATGTTATCCTTTATTGGACATGTACAACCTCTTATTTTTCGTATTCATTCCTTTCTCTAATAACCAATATATTCTTTTATTTTTACAAAGGTTTTGGATGCTCAAAGATCGTTCCGCACTCAAGTCAAAACCTCTTCCTATCACCGACCCTGAGTTGAACCTCCCAGCTGACCTCGCTAAYATGGACGCCGCATTCCAATGGGGCCGAAACAACAAGGTCTACTTCTTCAAGGGAGACAAATACTGGAGATACGACCCAGACAGAAAGGAGATCGATATCGGGTATCCAAAGTTGATCACTGACGGCTGGAGAMATAACATACCTTACAACCTTGATGCTGCCCTTCAATGGGAAAACGGAAAAACGTATTTCTTCAAAGGGTTAGAATACTTTGCCATCGATGACTACACTCTTGAGATTCCAAAAGTTGATCCTCCCTACCCTAGGAAGATTTCTACTTATTGGATGGGTTGCTCCCCAGAGGGGGTAATTGGAGGTAAAATCTCTCCAGTTGAAAGCTCTGCCTTTACGTTCCTTCCAARCTTGGTTGCAACTGTTTCTACCCTAATTTTAGCAAAATTGCTTTAAATTACCAAATACAGGATAAAAATTAGATTACGATTAGTTCAGATTTTGCAATTAACGTTTTAAATTGCTTTTGTATGTAAAAATTAGGTTTTTCAACTTTGTTTTGATAATAGCTGACACACCTATGTGCTTCGTTGATAATTACAGGATGCCCCAACTGGGGATGATTGAGAAATTGRATGGGAAAATAATTGTACAATTGAGGGACAATTCAAACATTGCTTACATAAACTACATAAACTAAAAGAAATCACATATGTAATTTTCTCAACTTAAGAGCCTTTATTATGAGTGAAATAGGTAGCAGGTAGTCAGAGATAAGTTTATTGTATAGTAAMTTATTGCTATATTTATTGGATTGTACAAATTTTAGTATTTTATTTATAGTTTGCCTTATAAGAGTTTTATCATTATACATCAATAGTGAATGAAAGAAATATGTATATCAGCTTTTGTGATGGATTTTATGGTTGTTGATGTTCAACTTGACATATTTTGAATAAATATTGTTTTAAAACTATCACGAGAAACTTGAGTATTACGCCTGTTCACAATTGTGGGTGGGGTGGGGTGAACGAACGAACGAACGATTGAATGCTAAAACAGCTTGTGAGAAAAAAACTGAAATAGACCCCCTGCACTTTTCCCCACCTGGGGTCAAAGCAATTGAACATTAATTAACATTATAAAACTCTGTTCAATCCTCAAGAGAAGATAAATCTTTTATTTTGACCCCCAGATTGAGCTGCTTTGACATCAGATGCAATGRCCCGGGTCTATAGACTTGAAAATTTGAGGTTTAGAAGAATGGAAGAAAGAGTGAGAGAAGAAATGAAAAAGGAAAGGAAAAGGCAGAAAATATAGAATTTACAACAGCAGTGTCCCTAGGTTCACCGAAGCGATTACTCTGATTCTTTTCTTACTAAAATGTAGTAGCGGTCTCCCTGTGGTAGCCACACAGGAATCCCACAGGCGGAATAATTGCGAGGTTACCAAACTGAACTTTGTAAAATGGCGACGTGGCAGAGATGAAGGTTTAAATATAGCGTCACTTTTCAGCGCTTAYACACTTAATTCCTTCATTCTACCGCTAATATCTTATAGTCAATGCAAAGATGGGTCTTTGTAAATGCTCCAAGAAAAAAGTTACCAACCAATTCTGCTTTGAACATCGTGTAAACGTGTGTGAATTTTGTCTTGTGTCAAGTCATTCTCGGGTAAGTCAAAATTGAATTTAAATTCCTATTGTATTCAATTTTTATATATATTTATTTACCATTATATTCCTATGCAAGAAGACTTAAATAATCGTTAAATTTTAATTTGAGTTCATCGAAAGGATGCTATGGGAAGTATTTGTTTTACTAAAAATGGCAGACTGGAGTTTTTTTTGGTGGAAAGCTTACTACTACTTCTTAAAATCACATATAACTTTGAATTTGCACATTAAAACACCATCTTTCTCTCATTAATTCAAAGTTGCTAGAAGACTATCATAASCAAATATATAGACAGGCCTCTAAGTAATTCTTAGATTTTACTTAGTATAAAAAAATTATGTCCAAGTATGCAAGATGCATCAAGTTGAAAATAGCAAATATTATAATCTGTGGCTCAAATTGTCATATAAGATATGTATGAAATATTGATATCTATGAATATTATAGAATTTTGATAAATTTTTGGGCGTCTTAAAATAGCTTGAAATTTAAAATATCTGAGTAGGTATTGCCTTTCTGCAACTGCAAATAGTCAGAACTTTGTCGTGGATGAGATAAATAGAGGATCGCAGTTTTATTAGTTGTGTGGATGAGATAAATAGAGGATCGCAGTTTTATTAGTTGTGACTGTCAAATGTTGTCCTCTCTAAATTAAGTTTGATGATATGTGTTGATGATGGTGATGATTGTAATGATATGCTATTTGATTGTTTTCTTTCAGTGTATAGTCAAATCCTATATCCACTGGCTTCAAGACAGTGAATACAACCCAGTATGTACTCTATGTAATGGCAGTCTAGAAGAGGGTGATGTAGTGCGTCTGGTTTGCTATGGTTAGTACAAAGTTGCTATGGTTAGAGCAAGCAAACAGCTTGTACCTTAGCAGTATATTTCTAATGAAAATATTGTCTATCTTCGGGACACACCTGTTTTGTATACCATGCCTTATATGGTGTTGTTTGTACCCAAGCTAGACCACAATGAATCATGTTAATTGAATTCAGAAAAAGAGTATAAAGCTTTTAAGTTATGACTGATTTTTTTTAAATAAAGCTCAATTCAAGACTACTCTTTTTCATTCCCAGATGTCTTTCACTTGGCTTGTATCAACAAGTTTTGTCAAAGTCTTCCCCCAAATACTGCTCCTGCTGGATATACCTGCCCTAACTGCAAGGTAAGTTTATTTAGAGCTGATACAAAAACAATAATCACTTATATACACTGTATAAACTACACTAAACACAAGGTAAACATGTGAAGCCTGACTTTTGAAAAATGATGAGAAATTTTTTAAAAATCAAAATGTCTAGGGGCACTGAGATCTTCTACAGAGAGATTTATAGCTTTTATGACTGAGAATGATTTAAAAACAGCAATAAAGAATAACCGAACAAAATAGTTGAAAGAAATTACAGTAGTTCAAGTAATTGTGGTATGGGCTAAAGAAGAATGCATTTTGAGTTACAGTAGGTATCACACAGCTTTTGAATGGTTATGAATAAGCCCTTTCAGCTTGGGCAAAAACTTTTTCCATCTCAGACCAGGTGCCATTCCCTTGATATTAGATTAAGATTCTTTGTTTGAGTTTTATCCATATTCACGTGTCTACTCATACACAACCGTCAAACAATGAAAGAATATTCTAGGGCAAAGCGAGTGTTTTGTATAGGAAAACATTATGCTCTAGCCGAAAGGGTCTATTCACACTTTATTAGACCATTCAAAAGCATAATCTGTGATTTATTAAACTATATACCACATCTAACATCATCTTACTCAATACTTTTTATGGTCCCCCAGCACCCTATATTCCCTCCTGAGAACATGGTATCTCCTGTGGTTGATCAATTAAGGCAAAAGCTTTCTAACATAGCATGGGCAAGAGCAGGCCTTGGGCTGCCTGTGGTAAGTATATACTCTTAAATACTGCAGAAGTTGTTCAATTTGGATTACAAAAAAAGAAGGATGTGACGAAATTTCTTTATTTGACAGATCTCATCTTAAGTCCTCATCTCATTGCTTGATTGTTTTTTTGCTATACTGTTATTTCTCTTCTGTTTGCAACCTTTTTATTGCTATATGTTTTTATAGATTCCAACTCAAGCACCAGAACAAAGCAAAACTCTACAAGAAACCCAGCACAGAGAAGTTTCAGGTTGGTTAGTTGGCTGGAATGCCACTTTGAATTCTCTCTTTCTCTAAAGTTTCTAAGCAAAAAAAGTTAACAAAAAAAAATAAAATTGAAAATGATTAAATTCCATTCAACTTGCTCTGTATGTTTTAGCATCTTATAATGACGAAGTCAAACCAAACTCTTACTACACTACACCAACCTCCTCAAGAGTAGAACAAAGACCACAAAGAGACCATATTGTACAAATGAGCCAACAGACTGTAACTCCACTACAAGCTACTCACACTCAACAGGGACATATCCGCAATGAAGGTAAGTATACCTGTTATAATGATGATGATGACAACATTGGTTATCTTTGGTTATGAAGTATAAGATGTTGATTATGGATGATAGTTATGATAGATGATGATGGTTCTGATGATGGTGGAGATGATGATGATGATTACACTGTACAAGAATTTGGTGATGGCTATGATGGCAATTTTTGATGATGTTGATGACAATGGTGGTGATGATGGTCATGATGATGTTATTGATGGTGGTGATGATATTTATGATGGCAGTATGATGATGATGTCGAACAAGATGTTGACACATAAAGTGACAGTAATGGTGATATGCATGAAGATATTGATCAATATCTATGACAAATACTAAGATGATGATGCATCTACTTTGTGGTACTAGGAACAGTTTCTCGAAAGACATTTGACAAACATCATGAGGATCTGCAACAGCCCTCTTATGACCACGATGAAAATAAATATCAAAGGCGAGGAGCAATTGACTGGTTTACAAGATGGTTCAGGTGAGAGTTTTGATTGGTTGAATTCACAAACTCACAAGTGCTTTTTTAAGTTTCACCACACATTTTGCTTTGGCTCATTAGCATCAAATTTGAGGAGCACTTTGCATGAATAAAGAGAAATTTTTTTTAAATAAATAAACTGAATGACCTCTGGGCTGATCAAAGCAGATTGAATTGGGATTAACCCTGTTGGGTTTTACAGAGAGAGAAAAACCAGAAAAAAAAATTTTGAATCAAGGGAGAGACCCAACCAACTCTACTCATATGCGGAGTTCAAAAATCAAAAAAAAAAAAAAATCAAAAAATCAAATCAAAAAACCTGTGACCTCAGAGGCAAGAGATGAGTGTACTACTGTGGGGACACTCTGTATTCCTACAATAACTTCATATTGAATGATTCTTAGCAAATTCAGGGATGCCAAAAAATTATATTTATTATATAATTACCGATGAAATATCTATTTTTCTCTATTTCGAAAAATTGATATCTTCAAACGTGAAAATAACACCATTGCGATGGCTATTCAAAAATACACGGAAAGAATTGCCTGAAAAAGCCAAAACATACTTCATTGATAAATATATAATAAACAGAATATTACATGGCCGCTTGGAGATACGAATTTTATCTTCTCGTCTTGAAAATCTCTCGCTGCGCTCACTTGTGAGAGATCTTTTCAACACTTGAAGATAAATTTCGTATCTCCGCGCGCCCATGTAATATCCTCTATTTATGCTACTCAAATTTGAGAATAAGATAGCAGTGAATGGGCTCCCTGTGGTAAATTTTGCATACATCATGTATTTCAGAACAAGAGTCAACAAACCCACAAGTTCTCCTATAGATGACCCCAGTGCATCATTAAAACGAACGATGATGATCTTCTTCCTGGTAATCCTGGCTTTCGTTACGATAGTAGTCATCATGACTCGAGTTGGCCGAAGYGCGGCCGATAGAGACCCTTTCCTAGACCCAATGGCCAACCCTCACATCAAAGTACAAGGAAGTCAATCATAATATGCCATCAATGAATCATATAGAGAGGGACATATGGTATGCCCTCCAGTCCCTTGGATCTAGGATTTCGAGTCTTAAGACTCAACCCCAGCAATATTACATGCTATATGTGCCAAAGGCCCCAATTTTTTTTGTCTCCTGAAATATTTTTRAGCAAACGTACCCAGGGATGGTATTTGAAATGTCTCCACGGCATCCCTGGACAGGAAGGAGAGAGGGAGTGTTAACATCCCTAGAGTATTATACTACTGTRCTACCGTGTTGGTGGAATTTACTGTACTCTTTAAAAAAGTGAGGTAAACTCGATTTTTAGAAGTGTTGCAATTCAAATACTTGTTGCAATAAATTTTCATGCAAACGCGACCTGAGAATAGAAATTTCGGAAATGAAAGAGACGCAAACGAGCAAGAACAGAAAAATAAAAAAAACTCAACACGCGACAAAACCACGTGAGGAGACTACACATCAAATGTATGAAAATAAGTAGAATCAGTAGTTTATGGTTCCAACTCCAAATTGTCACCGCAGTTTTTCCTAGTTAACTAATAATATTGTCTCGCAAATAGATAAAAGGTACCTGCTTTCAAGTACAAAGACTTTGTGTTTTCTCAGGATCGATATACCTGGACCTTTCTCAAAATTATGTTGAATGGAATGCTAACAAAAACATTTAAAAACTCCACACGCACTACCACTACATTCTATATTCACAGCATACAACACGACTCACATGTTGATTTTTACGAAGGGAGGAGAGAAAAGAAGTCACACTTTTTCTCGAAATTTGTGTCATTTCTTTTGTATTTTTATGTTAGCCTCGTATTCCATATAACTTTGAGATGGGTTACCTTTAGAAGTAATATTTTCCCATTTCGTACACTGTGACATTCCCCAGAGTATCATTTCTTTGTTTAACGTTTGCGCATGACAAAGCATGAATATGGATACAACGCTGATAAAGAATCTTACTCTCAAGAGAATAACATGAGGTGTGAAATGGGATAATATCGTACGTGGTGATTTTTGAGCTGGCAGTAACAAATTGGATGTCGGAACCATGAGCTATGGACTTCTGTCGTTTTTAAGTAGCTATTCCTTTTAAAGAATCAACATTCAGGAATATTGATAATAACAATTAGTAACTAGATAAACAATTACAAATTAAAACGATAATAAATATTATTTGGATTTTTTATTAACTGATCAGCTTTTACTAGTTTCCTAATGTTCATTATTCGCGACAAGAGGGATTCAACATGCACGACTGGGGAAAATGGTGGTTCATTTGACATGCATAATTATGTTATATAGAATGTTTTCGCCAAGGCCTAATTTGGCACGGTTAGGAGTTGAGTGCCCGCTTTCGGGACAAATTGACATTATAAGAGCTAATTACCAACGAAAGGTTCGAAGTAACAGCATTGAAAGAGGTCCCATTGTAGCATCTTGGTTCAAGGTCTCTGCTGAAGAAGAGGCCCAGCAAAGGAAAGGACCTTCGCACCCCAAAGCTTTCGAGCTACTCCTCTGTCGTAGTTTTCTTTGGAATTCCAACGTTTTTTCCCCGGAAGAATAAAGAATGCTTTAAATTTCATTCAAAATAAAACCTAAGGAAAGAATGAAAGATCGAAGTGAAAATCTGGGAACTAACCTTCTGCGCATCCGCTGTGTGCGGGAGCTTCCGGTTCTCGTCAGCGTCTGCGCACGAGGCTATGGAGAAACGCGCCACACTGCGCAATCAAGGTACTATTTCCTTATGCGAAGTTATCGATGTGCGAATGATAATGAAACACTATTGGTTTTCTTACCTAACTATTCAAAATATTTTGCATTCCTATTTATGATGAATGGGACAGCTCTTCTGGGCGGAATTCCAAAAAGACTAACTCGAAGATAATTCTAACTATGAATAGTAGCATGCTGAAAGCTGAAAGAAAACGGGTAAAGAAATACCTCATTTAGTAGAAAGGTGGGGCTAAAGGGAGACGATAAAAAAACCGGGAGGATTGGATTTAAGATCTTGAAGCTGACTGGAAGGTCGACTGGAATAAGTGAAGTAAGGAAGGAAGGAATGAAGGAACGAACGAACGAATGAAAGAATTGAAAGGGAGAAAATTGAAAGAAAGTGAGAAAGGAAGGGGAGAAGTGACGGACGACAAGGACTAGATACTATGACTTTGAGCGCAGTCTCACTGTCAACCACAATCTAGTGGCCTTGTTTTACCTGTCGAAATCATCCCGACATAGACTCCCGTTATCTTCTCAGCAAGACTGTGGTACATGACACCAAGAATGGACATGACAAAGGCTATGCAGTGTGATATCTGATGGAAAAAATAATTTCTCATGTAAGTTTTCCGCAAAAATATCAAAGGTTGGGCTACCAAAAATCATTAATCAGAAGCAAGGAGCTTCATTACTAGTGCGGTACTTTAAGTACTGAAGATTTCTGAACTTCTACTGATGGTGTTACAATTTTTGAAGCAACCGTCGTGACATTGATTTTTAGCCTAAGTTACTCTGGTTTGCGCATGTCGTATATATTGCTCAGTTATGATTGCAACGTGCGGCCGGAAAGTTGGAGTTGAACACCTTTCGGCTCTATAAAGAATTCAGTTTAAAAGAATGTGTGGCGCGCAATTCGAGTTATAACGCATCAGTTGGCGGACTCTTTAGGGACGCCAAGCAAGCACGTCACATTTCTTCTATAGTCTGAGGTCTTCCATCAAGTCTTCCAATGAACATTACTCAAATCATCCGTAGCCTGTGTAGCAAGTATCAGCTTCAATATTTACTATTAGAACAAATCTTTAAAAGAACTTAAAAATTGCGCACAAAAATAGATATTTTACTGCTGCGGATCGAAGTAGACAACTGCCCAAATTTTGGCAGCAATTTTCTTCTACATTATACGTTTTTCATTCTGTTTTCTTTCTCTCATTTGTTTCGTTGTTTGTCTTTTGTTGGTATTCCTGTATTCTTTTTTTCTTTTTCTTTTCGATTAGTGTGCTTAAGTTTTTTATCGAACCCTTAGAAGAGGAAAAAAGGGTTTGATAAGAAACCTTTGTGGAAAAATACGCATTCGTAAGCTTACCAATATTAAGAATGTGAAGCCATGAGAATTGTTCTCCGGGGTCTCCACCGTCAACACTGCAATAAAATCATTCACCAGAATAGCGAACAAAACTACAGAAACAATAAGAGATAACGATGTGTAGATCTCTTTACGGTGAAGTTGGATCCCGCAAAAGTTAAGCTGTTAGAAAAAATTGATAAAAATTAACATTAGCAAATTTAAATAGTGGCGCAAAAATAGATAACATTCTACGTACCATTTGGCATCTTTTGGTTCAAAGGAATTCGCTAATTTGTACAGTTTAAGTTTCTTAAACTTTTTATATTTTGGCTTTAGAATTTGCGCGTTTTCCACGTCTTCAAAAATTCACAAAATGTTATTACGTCAATGAATAAGTGATGTCATAAGCGCGTCGAATGTTTTGTCGTTGGTGCGGGCTTCCTGTGTTGGCTCAGCGGTTTTACCCATGGAGAAGAAAACAAAGATGGCGGACGAAGTTGCCTCGATTGCCTCGTGGAACATTCGTGCCAAAAATAACGAATTTACCATCAAAACTGCCGTCTTTAAAAGCGAGAACATCAACCCAGGTGCGTATATTTTTCCTCTCTAGAGCAAGGTACTGGTAGAATATTATTTTTGAGCTAAAGGATTCTGTAAAATGGTTTACATGTACGATGCAGAAATTACAGATGAAGTGAAGAAGAAGCTTTCATCAATGAGCCGTTATGCTGCCAAGAATCTACTGTGGTCTGAGATGAACACAATGAAATCTGTCATCTACAAACAACACAACCAACATCGGAAAGAAAAATACTTTCAAGGAATGAAAAGAGTAGGTAGAATTTATAGATAGATTAAATTCCTGCCTGTGGATTTTGTTGGAGATTATTTAGGATTTAAGGTACGAGTTGTTCTCGTTCTTTGTGTACACAGATTCAAAAACATCTTGCAAGACTCAGAGAAATGAATCTGGAAGCCTTATTATCCTCTTTTATAGATAACATGCCAAAGTAAGTGTTATAGCTGGACATAACCCATATGTACGTTGCTATAAGGGAATAGTCATTATTTGAACAGTGGCAGGTGCAAAAAAGGCATGCCATATTTTACCTTTTTCCTGACCCCCTTTTCCTTGTACTGAGGGTGGAAGTTTGACTTTCAGCAGTTGTCCTATGGTGGGAAATTTGAAAATTTCAAATTCAAAATTCAAAATTCCACTGGAGTCCCCCCCTCCCCCCAAACCCTGGGACTTGACATTGATAGATGCATAATGCGATTCATGAGATTCATTTTCCTGGTTGATACCATGCAATTGTTATGTGAAGTGTCAGTTACAGTATGAAGCAGAGATTGATTGGCCAGTTGAAAAACATGCAGTAAGGTGGAAAATCTAGACAATGTAAATTTCAGTTTGCAAATAATTCGATTAGCATTAACAAAATCTGTTCATCCACAAGTTAAGATACATTTAAGGAAGGTACACTTTTTATTGGGGAGCAGAAGGCCTAGGGGATTCACAGTAAACATATTTTAGATGGTTGTAGACCTTCCCCTTTCACTCAGTAAGAAATTCGTGATTCTCTTATTAAGTTAGCAAGAAAACAGCTATTGTCAAAATAAAAGGTTTCACCCTTAGCAAAATTTCAACTAATTCAAGAAAGCATATGAATTTATGCAAATTTTGGACTTGAACTCTCAACTCGCAGTGGTAAATGCACTATAAAAATGTGACGTTATTATTATTATCTATTATTTTTTATTATTATTATTATTATTATTATTATACAGTTTCTCATTAATCCCATATAGGTAACTGTCCAATTATTTTCTTAATTGGACAGATCTTATTGATATGGGATGAATTAAGTAGCTATATAATTAATAGGTAATGGGATTTCATGCTCCCCAATCAAGAAATAATTAGACTCAAAAAATTCCTCTGACTGCCAAATTGCACTCGGCCTATGGCCTCATCCAATTTTGGAAGTCCTCAGAATTTTCCTCGTCCAATTATTTCTTAATTGGACAGCATGGAGTCCTATTACATATACTTATTATTATTATTAAATTTTTGCTAATGACCCTCCCCTTTGGAACCCAAGCCCTACCCCCATAGAAAAACCTTTTTTCCACTTACCACAGTGTGCTACTAAAACCTTTATATTTTGTATTATAAGAAAAGATTCAGCAACAAACAGCTACCCCTGTGTACAAGCTATAGAATATGCGTTGTTCAACTTAATGGGAGCAGCCAAGCTTATCACCCAAGTAAGCCTAAAAAGAGTTTCTTTTTTAGTATCTTCATATTTATTATTTTTTAAGGCACTATTTCCTCTACTCTTTTATTTTATTTAGGCTATTGGTCACTGCAAGTCAACAATAAAGTATCCTTTAACATCACAGAGAAATCCTTACCCCACATCCCCTGGGAGATTTTAACTTACCTTTACAAGGTACAGTAATCAGAGATAAGGGTGTCCCAAAAACAAAATTAAGTAATAATACTGTTTTTGGGAATTTAGAAGTACAGAGTCAGAAGAGATATAATTTCATGGTCATCTGATTTTATTTTGTCCATTAGTAAATAATATTAAACAGAGTGACATATATTAATTAAAGGTATTTAAATAAATTGTTTATATCTTTAACTCTTATTCCAAAATTAGCTACGTTGGTCATCAGTTATCCAAGGGATTTTTTATTACTTTTCATATTGTGATTGCAGCTTCATTATCTAGAATTTGGTAAGTCTTTGTTATATTTACATAATATAAATAATGTTATAGTTATAGAAATGATAATTTGCATTATTTAGACATTCCTTAATGTTCAAATCTACAGTAGAGACCTGTTATCTTGAGCTCTGGGCCCAGTTGTATGAAGGGTCGGATAGAGATCCAATATTGTTAAATCATCTTGGATAACAGCATCAACATATCCACTGGATAAGGATTTATGCATCGGATAGAGCTATCTACCCTTCAATCAATCTGATCCTGGATATTTCAAACTTTCCAGTTATCTCAAAGCTCAAGGTGGTTTCCAATGGAAAGTTATAAGTTTAAGAATATGGTCACTCTCCATTCTAAATTGAATTTTTTCCAGGGTTCTCTTAAAGGATTTTGTACATAACATCCTGGAGTGCTACCAAAAACTCCACCCATTGCTGATCCACCTACAAGAAACATCTCAGGTGTGTAGGTCAAATTCTATTAGTTTTGATTTTATATCTAAAAACGCAGGATTTCAGGACAAGCTGTTGAAATGCCTGAGTTTGTAGAATATTGAGAATCACTTACTAGAGCATGCTTACTAGAGATGCTTCGCTGGTCCCTTTGGTGTGGGTATATAATTCCAGAGTTGCACTGTAAATGGGTGGCTTGGGTAGCTTGAGCTGTTAAGTGTTGTCTTTTACATCTGTTGAGTTCATGGTCACAAGTTTGATTCTTGACTGTACCATATTATGACTTGAGTTTGTTTAATGTTTTTTTCACCCTTACCATCAGGGTTTTTTTATACATGTAATGATTTAATTCAGGATTTGCTTTAGCTATACACCTAAGTCCAAAATGGCACACAGCCGCATAAAAACGAGGTATCCAGGGCCAAATTTATCAATTTCTAGTTTTTTCTTATAATTTGATGCTGCAAAATTGTTGGGTTCCTAAATTTAAGAATGAAAGGAAGACAGGACAAGTGTATACTTCATTGCATTGACACCATATTATTTAATCTTTGCATTTGGCCTAGGATGCATCATTTTAATGTACAGTTACTCACTTGGCTGTGGTCCATTTCGGACTTAGATGTATGACATACATTTTTATGAAACAACAACATTGCAGGAAGACTTGAAGCCTGAACTTCCTACTTGTCTCAAAACATGGATCCTCAACATTGAGCTTGATAAGACATTAACTGAAACACAGAAGAGGTACAATAATTTTATTACAAGTTATGCTCCAGTTTTGAAGTCTCTGTTGCTCATTGAATGACTCTGTAATCAAGGAATGCAGCAGTATTGTACAAATTTGAAGATAATGTTTGCTGATGCGTGATTTGATATCATATGACTTCATAACATCAATAAAATCTTGATGTAACTCTTAGATCAATCGTTCATTTTTCCCCCTTTAATTTGTTCATTTTTCCTTTTTAGTGAACCAGAGCTTGTCACAGCACAGACCTCAGTTGTCCTGGAAAAACTGTTCTCATTTACACCAGCAAGTGTGGAAAGTAAGGGTTAATGCACAAAATGCCTACAAATTTTATTGAATCCTGAAACAACCTCTGGGCTGATCAAAGTTAGGGTATGGCTAACCCAAAGATTGAACCCTGAAACAACCTCTGGGCTGATCTAAGTCAGGGCATGGCTAACTCACAGATTGAATCCTGAAACAGCCTCAGGGCTTATCAAAGTCAGGGCAGGTCTGACTCATAGTGAATTGGAATTTAGTGGGTTGGGTGTTGTGTAGGAAGAAAAACCTGGGAACTTGGAGAATAAGCATTTCATTGTGGAGAGACCTAACAAAGTCTACCTACATGTGATGCAGAGTCCAGGAATCACACTTAAGACCAGAGAGATGAAATGCATGGCATAGTGAGTTACATTAAAATGATGCATCCTGGGCCAAATGCAAAGAAATAATAGTGTCAATACAAAGTATACACTTGTTCTGTCTTTCTTTTGTTCTTAAATTCAGAAACACAATAATTTTGCGGCATGAAAGATGAAAGATTATTATTATTATTATTATATTATTATAATAATGTGAATGAACTACTACCACTACCTTACATGTATGTCTCTCTTGATTACCACAAATACTTACCTAATAATTATTAACAATTATTTACCAGGATGGTAGTATAGTTATATATGTTTTTCCCTTTTAGAACTGGTTGCAGCAAGTTTATCAGATGTTAGTTACACAGATGTTGCCCAACCATGTGATGACATTGGAGGTAAGTAACATGTTGTTGGTCCTCAGAAACTGGTCCTCATTGTGTCCCAATATCAACCAGTCACTAATTCGCAAACCAACATTTTACCAATTGGTTAAATTAATCAGCATTCACCAATGAACCATTAAGAAACCAATAAAAGTTGTGCTGCAAAAACTTATCATTGGTGGAACCAATGGTGTGGTCTAGCGGGCCAGGACAACCCTATCCCTACCCCCTTATTAGGAGCTTAACAATCATATATTTTTGATACTGTAGAAAGTTTTGATTCAAGTTTGAATTCCACTGGAAGCCTGCTTGATGCTTCTCAGCCTGTATCACGTGAACTGGTAAAGTATTCTTGCTCAAAATATATTGATTACAGCTGTACTAACTTTTTGAAATAAGGTAAATTTATCTACATTAGTGATGAGGCATGGAAATGACTACAGTAATTGCTGCAGTGCTCAATGGTAACAGACTGTTTTTGGAATAGGATTAGAAAAGGAAAGAGAGGAAAGTAAAGACAAACCTGTACATTAAAATGATGTTTTTTCATAGCCACCATGCAAATTGCAAAGGTCAAATCATCTAATGGAACAAAAGATTTGTCTATTTTGTTATATGAACCAACAGAATCAAAGAATCCAGTAAAGTCATGGCTGTCATGTCTTTTTGTTTTTTTAAATTAAACTTTCTTTGGAAATGATTGAAAGATCACCTATTGAATTTTAATTTTTTTCAGTTCAAAGATGTTTCCTACAACACAAGTATGACTATATCAGAAAGATGTGGTACAAAACATAAACTGGAACCAGACATTGAATTACAACATCTTAAACGGTTGCACTTGGATCAAGATGCAAATTATATTCCTAAAGGTACAAGAACATTGGAAGAAATGAATAGCAACAACCTGATGAAAGAAAGGAGTTATAGAATGATTCACTGTCCAAATTTAAAGTTAAAACACTCAACACGTTGTGGAACTTTTAAAATTCCTTGCATGGGGACAAAAAGAGTGCTACGTAATGTGAGACTTTTTGAGTCCAAGGAAAAGGGAAGAAGAAAGCTGCAAGATAAAGTTATCAAACAACAACTTAAGAAAGGAAAGAAAAGTCATTCCAGGACTTTATTTAAAACAAAGAGAATAATTATCAATGCAAATTGTAGGAAAAGCAAAAGAATTTTGAAGATGGAGAAAAAATATCAAAGTAGATGGAAAAGAAAGATAAGTTCAATCGTTGGTCAAAGAAAACTCAAGAAAACTCAAAAATTGTCTCCTCAAAGTAATTTGACAATTGATGTTAAACAGAGCTTCAATATGGCTCCAAGTCTAAACTCCAGTTTTCCCAATGTGCAGAACATGCACCACAGGAAAGACAGTAAGGAACAATGTTCTCTTCTTGAAAACCTTTCATTAGCTTCTGGGAAGTATTTTAGTGGTTTCAGTTCATTGGACAAATTGTCAGCTAATGAGGATTCATTGTTATCAAGGAGAAAAGAAAGTGGCAAACCTTCCAAGAGAATTGTTAGAGAAAGCAAGAGAATTAGTTTTGAAAAAAGAAAGCCGAATTCATCATTGAAAGACATGTCAAATGGGAATATACTGTGCCATGCCAAAGATGATTGTGTGGATGACATCTTTGATATATTAGGTGTTTGAAGGAGCACTGTTCATTGGAAGAGTTAACAATTTTATATTTGAAGTCGTTGTGCCAAACCAAAGATTATGTGGATGACATCTTTGATATATTAAGTGCTTGAAGGTGTATTGTTCATGGGAAGAGTTAACGATTTCATAAAGTGAAGATGCACTTTTTTGAAGGAGCACTGTTCATTGGAAGAGTTTACAATTTTATAATGTGAAGTTGTCGTGGCAAACCAAAGATTGTGTGGATGACATTTTTGATATATTAGGAGTTTGAAGGTGCATTGTTCATGGGAAGAGTTAACTCTAACGATTTCAAAATGTGAAGACGTTGTGTCAAAACAAAGATGATTGTATGGATGACATCTTTGATGTTATTAGGCATTTAAAGGTGCACTGTTCATTGGAAGAGATATCAATTAATGTGAAGGTGTTGCATCAAGCAAAAGAGAATTGTGTTGATGACATCTTCACTTAAAAGTGTTTGAAGGAATCTGGTTATTTTCAGCCATATTGGTGTACCAAACCATAGAAACATTCTGYGCAAGATCTGCATGAAAATAAAGTTCAATTCCTGGAGGATAGAAAATGTATTGCTTTGGTACCCCAACATGGCTACTGTGACGTCACGTCAAAACCCTATTCCCTGCTGACCAGGTCTTTACTGTGTGAATGGTTTGTTTGATTGCTCCTTATGATATTCAATTGTGGTGTAGAGTGAAAACTTGCAGCAACGACAAGAGAGCTAGTAACATTTGAACATCAGTAATGAGCTTTATTCTAGTCTAATATTGTATTTTTATAATTCCATATGTTATATAATTTAATTTTTGATTTACATTCAGATTCAACTCTTTCATTCTTAACTGCTAATGAAACGGAAGTTAGTGTAAAAGGAAATGAATTAGAGGGAAACTGAAAAATAGCTCTAATTTTCTATTTTGCACTTACGTTACATATTACATGTATGTAGTCCTTGAGCATATTATTAATTGGGTATTCTTTCAGTAAAATCACCTTTAGTTACAAAAGTATGATAAAAATGAGTCATAAGGACAGAATGGCTATTATGATCAATCCACACAGTACGGTAAGGTGTCAACAGACCGCATACAGTACCTTACCAACACCTTACTGTACTATGTTGTGCAGCTGGATCACAATAGCCCACCAATAAAACTAGCTCAAGAAAACCTATTTAACTATATAAATCTATTTTACATTTTTCCTTTGATTTGTCTGTGTAGAGATAAGGGGTGGATGTTAGAAACTGTGTCTTTTCTTTTTTACATTGTATAAAGTGTTTTGAAAGCCCACATAAAACCATGCTAGGTAAATTCACCTTGTCGGCACTAGCCGTCACATGTCAAGAAGTTCGGACATCGTTCTTGGATTCCCAAACAGATTCACTGAGTTTAAAAAGGAAATTCAGGTCGATTTCTTTAGTTAGCTCTCTAAACAGTGGCAAGAAAAGCTTCAATCAAGTTAGAAAAATGATATTTTGATACTAGCAGTGGCTGTAAGACAATGCAACACCATTTTGACTACATGATGGCTAGCACCAAAAAGGTAGATTGAATGAGTTGTATTGTTTTACTTGAAACTTGATAATTGGGTTGGTTGGGGATAATTTGGTAATCTGATAAGCAAAAAAGGTTTTACATGTGCCAGCAACCATGTTAAATGTTAGAAGAGTAGAATCCCTACTCTGGAATTCAATTCTTTCTAATGTAAAACAATACTGTATCGTACAGCTTCTCATTAATCCCATATAGGTAACTGTCCAATTATTTTCTTAATTGGACAGATCTTGTTGATATGGGATTAATTAGGCAGCTATATAATTAATAGGTAATGGGATTTCATGCTCCCCAATCAAGAAATAATTAGACTCGAAAAATTCCTCTGAATGCCAAATTGGACTCGGCCTACGGCCTCATCCAATTTTGACAGTCCTCAGAATTTTCCTCATCCAATTATTTCTTAATTGGACAGCATGGAGTCCTGTTACATATACTTATAGTATACAAGTCAATTCTGTGACATACTGTAACAATGATGCAATAAGCATTGCTGAAAATTTTCAAGTTCTGGTGCCATCTGTAAGTAAGATGAATGCATTTTTTATAAATTGCATCTTGCAATATAGACTTCTGAAATTAATAACAAGGTTCATTGCATCATTTTGAGATACAAGGGTAATATCTCGGCCTTATGAGGTGGTCAGTTGTAAGAAAAAAAAGCAATGTGTAACAATGCTGTATTTATTCTTATAATCATCCTGCATGATTTAGTGCTGAAATCTAAATCACCTTAAGATTATTTCATCTATATTTGACCTAAGATGATCACTAAAGGAATAACTTCTTGCTGGACATATTTTCTTCTTTTCTTATAAACTTCTACTATGAGAAACTATATGAACATTTCTCCTCTGAAATAGAGAGGCTGTTTAAGATATTTGTAATTATTATTGTGATTTGCTACAGATATCAGCACTGATTCATTAAAATTCCTTGGTATATTGTGACTGTAAGTACCTTTAACTTCCCACTTCAAATAACATTTTTATTGCCTGAAACAAAAACAAAAAAACTGAGCATAAAACAAGTCTGGATCTATAAATCGCCATCTTCATATCCATCAAACTTATTGTGAGATGTACTTATTTACAATCAAGATCATCATCATCCTTTCATTTGTTCATCATATTAATCTCAAGCAAATCTACGCCAGTACTAGCATCATAAAGATTACCTTAACCATATTTTCGCTTTTATTATTATCGTCATTAATACTATTGTTTGGTGAACAATGATTTAGTTAAGTTCCAATTCATACAATATCTCTGTGTTCCTTGATAACAGACTCATTTACTTCAATTCAATTCCATTTCAACATCAGAATATTTACAAATACCATCAGTAAAGTAAACAATGCACAACTTCAATAATACAAACAATTTGGAATGCCAGTCAGAACTTTACTGGAAAATGTGAATATAGCCTTAAACAACAGAGAATTCAAAACTGGAGTGTTGAATATAGAAAAGTCAATTCCTTACTCTTTGCATGGCAGCAATCCAAGCAAGTGAATGTCTTCTTTCAGCTTCTGGTGACAAGACGGCATGTAGATGTACCTCAAGGACATTTCCCTGCTCTTTATATTTCAAGACAATTCCATTTATATGTTCGCCTAATATATGCATAAAAAAGATGATTAGGAATAATAACAAAATAATACTGGGCTAACAGCATAAGATAGATCTCATCCTTCTTTCCTACCTTCTTTCTCTGTTATAAGCTGCACAGACACAAGGGAGATGAGAGCAACTGGATCGTGGTGAGCATCACCATCACATTCAAATAGAATGGTCCTAGAATAATTCATAGATTAGTAGAAAATTAGAAAATCAAAGACTAGATACTTTTCCAGACATCTAAAAGTTCTGATCTTCTCAAATTATAAATGATTACATGATAATTTATCATTTGTCGCTAGCAGAAAGGGGAACTCTGAGAAAAAAATCAGAGTCCCTAATAGGAATTGAACCCATGCACTTTGGGATGCCGGTCAGATGCTCTACCACTGAGATATAGGAAAGAGCTGAGATATAGGAAAAAGCTAGTAACAATGATAAATTATTGTGTACTTCTTTCCTAGTTTATAAATAATTTCATCATTATGAATAATAATAGAAATCATCAGTGCAGTTGATAGTTTACCTGTGTGTCTTGTTTTCCAGTTTACAAACAAACGTCAGTGGAGCTGAGTCATCTATAATAAATTTAGCACCTGTTGGCAAGTACAGATCATTAATTTACAATTATTAGTTATTAGTTTATTGCATTTGAAGTTGTTTGACCATGGGTTAAATTACCACAGAAACGTAAAAAGGGGGCCTTGTCCCTGTAACAACCTCTGGGGCTAATTAATTAATATAACTTGAGGCATGGATAAATTGGAATTTATCAGCTAGCTTGTTTAGAAGTTTTGCAGAGGGTAGAAATCCAAAGAAGATGGAGAAAACCTTTCAAATCATGGGAGAGACCTTAGCTTAACTCTAATCACAGAGAATCCTTTAAACAATGAGCACTACTCTGTATTATTGAGGTGTTTTTAGAGCACCATTCAGGTTTTCATGTTTTATCTTCCATCCATCAGATTAATTAACAACAGTTAGAATTGGTAGTGCTTTCATTGATAAAAGCTAAATACAGACATCTTGAAGTTGCTGAGGTCACAGGAACCAGAGCATGCAAACACATACCATGGCAAAGTAGTTTGAGATGTTTGCTGAAGAACTCCTCCTCTTTCTTTGCAACATGAGAACATTGTTCACAGACTCTGACAGGATCAACGAAGCTGAGTCTCTCCAGCATCACTTTGTTATCACAGCAATTGTTGCAGAAGACTCTACCACACCGTCGGCAATGGTGCTGCAATATCAATAATTAAAAACAAACAATTAAGATATATTACACTAATATAAATAATAATTGTGAAAGAAACATTTCTAACAGTAATTTTCCAATTTCGATTAAATTGACAGTTAATTAATTTTCTTAGGGGCTAAAATGAAAGAGCGAAGATTGCGAGTAATAAGCTTATAAGAATATTCTAGGCCATAACAACAACATTAAGTTAAAAATACTCAAAACAAAGAATAATGTAAGATGTGTACAAACTGGTACAAAATGTAATGAAACATTATCAATTATCATAAGAATTCGTAATGGTTATAATTTTCATAAATACTAATTGATATTTGTTAATTTTCAGAGTTATTTTCATAAATCTAGTTAGTGACGTCTTCTTGAAATGGCGTCAAAAAGCATCCTGGAGCATGCAGAAATGGTCTTCTAAAATAAACCTCAGACATCACTTAAAACTTTCGATATTACTCAATTATTAATAAGGTACATTACCCTTCGATGAGTAAAGTCAAACTTGATGTTACATTTGACGCAGTTTGGAAACTATGAACAAAAATAAGAAGTCTTAAATTTGTGCAGTGAACAACAAAGTCTTTCTTCACAAAATCCCATCTGTGCGCAAAACTGGTGTGATTATTCGCCTTGAATGCATACCAGGGCATCGTCTTCCCAATGAGGCTCCTCTAGAAGGAATGGGGAACGATCTGCATCCGATGTGGATACCATACGAAGCCCACTTTTACTCTTGATCAACTGTTTATTCGACATTTTTGTTCAGAATTGCAAAATTACGAGAAACACAGCTAGCAGCGGTGAATACCATGGGATACGCGGGCTCAGTACAAATACGATCAATAATACTTCGTCTTTTTAAAAACAAAAATATTAAGCATTCAATGTAAAAAATTACAAAAATAAATACAAACTTAGGATATCATTGCTAAGAAAATAATTCAAAGACTTCTTTTCATTTATTAAGGTATTTAGTATTGATTATTGTGCCTTAAATAGGCTCTCCGGAGATTTACCGATTAATTATCGATTGTAATTTATGCTTGTGATTGATCGTAAACAAAATCCTTCAGATCCTTCAGGGTACAGTGCGTTTGTTCGTATGCAGAGTAAAAGAGAGATTTCCTCAGTTTTGCTAAAGAACTTTCAAATTTCCAAGTCTATCACAACCAGAAATCGAGAATTATTCGATCTCCTGGTGTACATTTTGCGCTGTTTTTGGTCATCTATTTGTTGTTTTAAACATGACATGAAGCAGCCATGAAGAACACCTTCCTATCTACAGCAGCTTGTCTTGTTTGGCTTTCAGTTTTAATCAGCTTTGTGCACAACACGTTTGTCACTGTGCAAAATGGTAAGTCGAAGGAGCCTTATTTTGTCGAGAGTTTGCAGACTAAAGGAAAATCAACTTAGCAATTTACGATAAAGAAGTAGGCTTGCTTTGGAAGCTTAACTAATACAGAATACTCAAATTTTGTTTTATGTTTATTCATATTTTCCTGTCTAGACTTCAATACTTCCTTCCACTCGTCTCCATTGTGGGCATTTTAAGTATCAGTTTTAGTTTTTCCTCCCTCCTCTCAAATCAACCTTAACTAATTCAAACTGGTTAGAGCTGTGCTCCGGGGTCATACATGGACTGTATAGCGGCTGCCAGAGGCGCCTTCACATGCTTTCAGTTCGACCCCGTTGAGCTGCGCCACTGCTGTACTTGCGGTGGTGATAAGCGATGACAAGTTTTTTTATTAATGGCTGGTTACTGGTGGTATACAGGACTTTTTAAGCCAATTTAGTGAAAGGTTCAAGAGATGGATGATCAGCAATCCTGCCTTTGATGAAAACCATTCTTAAAGAATTATTGTAAAGTTTTGTCTGATGAGCGTCTTAGAACGGAATTTAAGAGAATAAGGTTTTTCATTTATTTCCCCATAATTTTATTTATTTAATTTCCCCCCAATTCTTGCA